ATCATTAAATTGGCCAATAAGAATGCAAGGTCGTGATCAAAAAATCATTTCGCGTTACCATTAAAAAATACTTTGACCGTTTAAGAGATAATATATATTTTTATTTTATACAATAAAATTATATTTAAAAAAATAAATGAAATAAATGGAACTAAACTATTTATAATCTTCCATCCATGGATTGTCATTATCTTCATCCACTTCCTATCATTATCATTGTCATTATCATTATTAAGATCAACATCAGCACTGTAATTATACTCTACTTCTTCAACCATTCCATCATCTTCGGATGATTGTCTCATAGTGAAATCAATTCTTTAGCATATTCTTGTAGTTCACTAGATGTTTCAAAGTTATCAAACTCGCCTTTACTAACATGATAACTAGATCCCACCATTTCTAATGACCATGTCTAAGTTCAAAATAAAAATAATAAATTTCAATCAACAGTTGTTAATATTAATATTAATTCTATTTATAAAAATAATAATAAAAAAAAGATTTACATTTGTTTTCTCATCAAAAATCTTTTAATGGCTTCCGAATCATAAGTATTATTATGACTCTATCTTCAACCAAATGTCCGGTTAATTTTAATGGACCCTCTACCTAAAATTCAAACACAAGTACATAAATAAACGCACATACATATCGATTGTTTAAAAGAACTAGGTAGTAAAGCATTGAGGCTAACCCCTTTTTGTTCATTATAAATAATTTCAAATGTTTCTTTACTCTCAGCAAATTTTATAGTTGCCTCATTTGTAAAATCTATATCTTCTGTATTAACTTCAACTAAATAATATTATGTATAATAAATATTTGTTTATAATAAATAATAAAGTGCAACAAAAATATCTTAAAATGATGATCGCAATAATTTATCGTAAAAATAATAAAATGATAATTGATTAATTTCCAAAGCGGAGTGAATCATAGTTTATTAATATATATATATGTATGTGTGTGTGTCAAAAACAATATAATATAAAAAGAATTTCTTCAACAAAAAAAAAAAAAATAAAGCCAGTATGTGAAATTAAACAAATAATAATAATAAAACAAATAAATAAAATATTTTATTTTTTTGATTTTGGTAAGGACCTATTTAAAACGAACAGATCTCGAATCAAATTCTATATAGACTTGATCTCAAGGTTTTAAAAATAAACAAAATAATTCCTTTGCTCCTAACCATCATTTTCACTGGCGGTAATTAAAGGCGGTGGTGGTGAAATCTCTTGATCGTCATTTCTATTTATTAA